TCTATCATCTATCTATCTATCTATCTATCTATCTATCTATCTATCTATCTATCTATCTATCATCTATCTATCTATCTATCTATCATCTATCTATCTATCTCTCCATCTAGCTACCTTCCTCTGCTACCCTTAGTCTTTAGACTACTTCCACACCCCAACTACCCATAGATCTGGAAGTTTGAAGTGTAAACCCAAGAAAAAGTTTTTCCACTATACTCTTTACCTTTATCTTCTTTCTCTAGTCTATATCTGTCCCATTAGATTTCTAAATATTTAAAATACATAAACTGCTCCAAATTAAAATAAGCTACCCCTAAACTTGCTATAAACCATGTAAACTTGATGTTTCTGAAGGAATTCCAAGCTAGCCTAAGCCTCTGACTTTAACCAGAATTTTCAGACTGCTCTAAAGCTCTCAGACCTTTTCTTGGCTAAGGTTTTCCCTCAGAACCTGGGAAGCAATCAAAACATATGTCTCCAAGCCTTAACTTCTCTCCTTTCTCCCAACCTTTGATTAGCACTTCAAACTTGCCAGGTCATGAAAATACCATTACAGAACAGATTACATAGTTCTTTATCATCAACAAAAAGTCTGGTATGACAGGGCCAAAAGAAACTCAGGACAAATGGCTAAATAGGTGCCTATTAGAGTACCAAAGTACATGTTTGCCTCCATTTTCTCACAGCAAATACCTGTTACAGAGTTCACACAAGTATCCAGTATCCTGTCTCCTCTCTGCTCATCTCACCCCAGTCCCTATCCTAAACATTTCCAGATCATAGAATTTTATTCCCCAGTTTCTGATTTGTATATAACCCTGCCAATTTGACCACAACCCCCTTGGCTCTTCTGGTCTTCTTGGCCAATTTCTCTCAGCTCCTTCTATTTTGGTCCTGCCTTCTTGCTCCCCACTTAGTAGCCTGGCCTATTCTGCTGGCCATGTTCTGTCTACTACTTTTTCTCTCTGCTCTGGACTCTTCTAGATGCCTCTGGCTGTATTCTCTATTCTATCTACCAGAAATACCTTCCCTGTAGTCATAAAAAGGAAAGACAATATTGCATTACTTGTTTGACTGAACATCCATATTTAAATGTAAGTGTCTATAGGACACAGAAGCAGAGAGGTGCTGTGTGGGAGGAGAAAGTACTATCATAAGTGAACATATGGCACTTGGCAGTAGAGGAGTAATATTGAGAAAATGACAATAATGTGCATGTATGAACCAAAGTTTCCTAATGAAACCCATTATTGTATATACCCAGTAAAAATTACCCAAAAAGAAGAAAAAACTGAAATTCAAATATACAATTGTGAGCAGAAATGTTTATAAAGATCTACCATAGACTACTTAAATTAGGTTTGAATGTCTCTATAAATACAATTTATTAATTTTTGCCCAAATGACACAGACTGAAAATTATCTACAAACTTCTGTAGTGTGTTTTGTATTTCATATATTACAAGGGTTGTTTTAAGCTGGAATTCTGTGAAGCAAATTGGACATAACTGGCAATGTATAGTAAACCAGTCATAATAGGAACACATATTTGATGACTCAAGTCTACAAGATTCTGGGCTGGAGAGATGATTCATAGTTTAAGAGTACTGTACTACTTCATAGAAGACCTGAATTTAGTTCCTAGGACACAAAGAAAGGAGCTTACAGCACACATAATGGCAATTCTATGGGAAACAATGCATTCTTCCCATCCCTAAAGGTACTACACACAGAAATGTTTGTGCAAACCCACGTGCACAATGCACACACACAAACGCACACGTGTGCGCGCACACACAAACACACATACATTCACATAAAACAGCCACCACTATTCCACTACTAGTACCCCTACAAATACTGCTATTTTTACTACTAATACACTTTAGAAAAAAAACTACACAATTCAATAATAGGATGTATTCTATGACCATACCCACTCTGTCACATGTACAAGGACAGGAAAATAAACACCAGTGTCCATGTAAGATTTTAAAGTTTTAAGAATTTATTTCCATGGAAACAGTCCTGGAGGAAAACCAGCCATTTTCTCCTGGAATACTTTATCAAAATTTTCAGCTTGAGCTACTGTAAAGTGATTCTTCCAGTCCCCAGCCACACCTGGAAAATGTGAAGCAGACACAGAGATGGGTTAATGATGATTGTAAATCTGCTCTCATTCCTTATTTCACATGATTTTACCACCTGCTCAAGTAGGACCACACAGTCAATAAAGTAGAACTAACAGGTACTCTATGGAGAACAATTCTTAACGTTTTGAAAAGTATGCAAACAGACTTGTATCTCTGTGTAAGTAATGTCAACCATCTCTTATACCAACATATCAACTCCACAATCTAACAGCATGGACAATGGATCTATATTTTTAATGTCCAGATTATTTCTCCTTCTCACTAGACATCCTTCAATCATACTATCAAGTTCAACAGAGTTTCATATCTCAATTACCCAAACACACTTCAATTGTTCTTTTTTCCTTTTAGGGTTTACTTATAACTGTTCTGAAAACCATGCCACAACTTTTAAAACACTTTTTAAAATTAATTCTAATTATGTGTCTGTAGCTGCATATGAATGCCCATGCCTGCAGAGGTTGAAGGTATCAGATACCATGGAGCTGGATATACACACAATGGTGAGCTCCATATCAGTCATCTTGATATTTCCAACAGATAAAAGAGACACAAAATACTGCCTGTTGAGAGCATCCCAGGATATCTGTTTTTAGTCAGTATGGAGCTTGCTAATGCATGAAGATGATTTCATTCCCAGTATTTTTTTTTACCATACCTTGGTTCTCAAAACCACATTCTAGAAGGTCTCTAGGCTAGGACTTAGATATCTCCAATAGTTCAAATTCTCAAATTGTATTATGTGTTCCTTATCCATGAAGTGCTGATGTGTTCCACACAGTCACTTCTTGTTCATCTGTTTCCTTATTTGTGTGACGGTGAACATCTCTTCCTATCTTCTTTCCATGTAGAATTCTACAGGCCCTATCCTTTCTGTATTTTATTTCATAGCTGTGATACTTTGATGAATTTTCTCTTTTTAAACATGCTTGAAATATGCATCTAATATGTTTGAAGAGTAAAATATTTCTTAAATTATCAAAGGCTTCATTTATCAAAGTGTATCAGACATACAAAAACATTCTCAATATGGAATTATTGAAAAGATTAGTGAATGAGTAAGGAAGATTACAGCCTTCTTGTCATTTTGCTGATGAAGAAAAATTAGTCCAGGAGATCTTACCAGCAGTATAGTGATGCATGTAGATTTGAAGCCAAAAAGACTGACAACAGAAGTCATGTTATTTCCTTACTAAAATACAATCTTTGTGTATCACATAAGTTAACTTTAAATGCCCAGTGGTACACATTAAAAGAAATAAAATTTTTGATACACAATAGTCAAATAATATACCATTACTTGCGATATCTATAAGAGTGTCATCTATTAATACTGTAATCTATCAATGCCCATTGCTACTTTCAGCTTCATTATAATACTCATTATTGGAACAAGTTGTGTTATTGTATCCCACAGCAATCTTGATCCTCATAAGCCAGACTGGATGCTGAGCTACCAGAATCTCAGAAAATTCAATATGTCTGCCAAATGGAATGAATCAGTCCAGATTAGAGAATACTGTTTGTGGAGGTGTACACGTGAAGTTCTCAGTCCAAACATCTCAAAATCTTGTGTACCTTTCATGCAAGTATTTTTCTTCAGTGCTTCTGTCTAAAAACCTCCTCAAACTCTGATGTGTACATGGTCAGTAAAACCTTAATGCATAGTGGCTTAACTCCTGTTGGAAAGGAACTTCCTCTTAGTTTCAGAGGCTGCAGGTCTCATAAAATGTTTTTGTCCATACCCTCCTGGATTTTTTGGCCTACACATATTGGGCTTCTCCATAGGTCTTCTTCCCTCTGTGTCTCTTAATACCTTCTTTGTTACACCAGAGAAAATGATTACTGGCTCAATTACTCTGTCTAATAAATATCTAGTGTGAACTAATGAGAGTTAAAACCTTAGATGTTTGTCAGAAGACATTTCCTCCCATGTGTCTTGATTGTGACAATGTCTTTATAAAATGTATGCCAAGTAAACAGAACATCTCTATGGTCTGTATTTCCTGAAATATCTAAATATTGAATCATAATGACCAAAATTATTTGTGGAAATTTTTTCATTGGAGTTTTAAACTAAATTAATCCCATCTAGCCAGGTAAGTGAGTCTCCTATGTAAAGAGCAGCTCTTCAGAGTATCTCTCTAGAGGCAAGGAAATGCATCTCTCTGGTATCCTGAGAAAAGCAACTAAAGAACAACAAAAATAAGTTGAGAGAATTCCTCTTGGTCAAAGCTAGTATAACATTTAACAAAACTTTTCATGCATTATGGTTTAAGGATTAGTTATCTAATGGTAGGTAATGAAACAAATTTTAGAATTAACCTTTGGTCTGCTCATACTTTCCATATTTAAAAAGGAATCAATTGAATGCAGGAATTAAGAAGATCAACATTTTCCTCATTCATCTTATTCTTTCCAAAATGTTTCCCAACATATGCATCTCAGCAACTTCTATACTGGAGTCATGAATCAGGGTGAGTGGTGTAATGAAGTTTGTCTCCCCCTTCATTGACCTGGTTTCCTGTGGGATTCATGGCTTATAGTGAGTTGAATAAAAGGAAAACAATTCCTCAGAATAAAAGTTATCTTCAAATGCAAAAGAAATGGGTGTCTTATATGATCACTATGATAATTAAAGCACATATGATTTTAGAGCCATGTTCAGTTTTTTGAAATTATTAATATATATTTTCCTCCTAAAAATATAATACATGAAAATACTATGTTTTAGAAGAGACTAAACTAAAGTCCCAATATGGTCTCATTTTGGAAAAACATAGCTGCAAAAGAGGAAATTACAGTTTTCCTCATGTAATTTTGTTCCAAATTCTATTTCATCTGCTCCAGTGTGTCTCAGATAAAAGTTTTATTAGTTTCAGTAGCCTTTCACTATTAAACAAGCCACCTTTTTGTTTTGGCATTTCATTGAAGCTATTTTTTTTTTTTTAGTTTTTCGAGACAGGGTTTCTCTGTGTAGCTTTGCGCCTTTCCTGGAACTCACTTGGTAGTCCAGGCTGGCCTTGAACTCACAGGAATCCGCCTGCCTCTGCCTCCTGAGTGCTGGGATTAAAGGCGTGCGCCACCACCGCCAGGCCATTGAAGCTATTTTTATACACATACTCTTTTATGTCTGCAGAATTATTATTCATTACAGGAAAACCAATAATGGGCTATTTCTTTTCTTACTTGAGTACTTCAGTTCTTGTACAGAGAACTCTCTCCATACAGTCTGGAGTACAGGAGTCTGAGGTTATGGGTCAATGGCAGTAGACCCTCCCATAGGCATCAGTCCTTAGTGTATAGATTATCATTTTCTTGAGTTGACATTTTTGTGTTCCCAAATTTGAGTATAATTTCCTCTTCTTAGGATACCAGGAGTACTAAATTAAATGCAATACACTAATGACTTTAACTTATTTATCTCTCTATATATTCCTGATGTCCTTAGAGTCTTATGACCTTATCCTCACATGTAGGTTGGAGGTTGACTGAAGATTAAGAATGAAGCATGTAAGTAATTGGAAGAGGAAAATTAAATGCATAACTCTCCACTTCCTGCATTTATAGCCAAGTTTTTAGTCGTCCCCAAATACCTCGCATCTAACTCATTCCTTCTTCAACCCTGAGTCCCACCTCACCAATTCTTTACTAATTTTTGTGTGGTGTATTTTGCCAGTCACTCCTCAACTGCACAGCTATGAAACCATAATTTGGTCATAGCATAGAGAGGCGGCACAGACATAGAGAAGATGGGTATTCCCATTTCAAGGGAGACAATTCAGAAAAAAAGACAGTAACTACGATCATGAATCAATCCAAATTTAGCTTGGCAAATGCCATCATATTTTAACACTGGAGGATAATTCACTTAGTCTGTATAAATTCTACTCTTAGGCTGTAGTGGATCAGCAATCTTGATCTGTTGGACATCTTTTCCAGCGGTGAATGGAAGTGTATTTTGTGGTTATCATCCAATATATATCTTTGGTTCTTTCCATTAAACATTTTCTTTAGAGTTTAGGACTACGATACAGAGAGTCTAACAAAGACTCACAAAACATGTCTCTCATTTTCCATTGAGGATATTGGACACAACCCTCTAACATCCTAAGATCATCTCTCTAAAAAAAAATCAATCTTTTCAGTTTCTGAAGTCCATGTCATCACCACGGAAGGATTCCCCTGGAAGGTCTCTGAGAAACTATGAGAGATTAGCAATGACTGTTGACACATTCATGCCCATTTCTTAGAGCGTCATTGGAACAAAAACCCTCCACATATTCTGACATATTTTGGGACTAAAGAGTTTCTTCACCTTTTCTCATGAGGACCAAACCTTTAGTAATCACAACTTCTCGGACAAGACTATAATTAGACATTTTGTTTTCTTTCATGGCTTGGAAGGAGCTGTACTTGAGTACCAGATCTAGCTCATTGGGCTCCAATTTCTTTCCTAGGAAGTCACAGATCTTCTCTATGGTTCCCCTTGTATTCTAAAAGAAGAATCAAAACAAAAATGAGGGTAATAATTAGAGAACTGTGAGAAAGCAGATGCAGAGAAGGTGACTACAGATGGAAGATGGAAAAAGAAACATGAAGAATGAAATGGCACCATGAAATGAGAAAGTATTCAATCGGGTTTAGGAAAGAAACAGGCTTTGTAAAGAGGGTAAGAGTCACATACAACATTTGTATATTTAGTCGTCTTGCAATGTAACTGATCTCTGGCCCCTAAAATACAGAAGCTGTGATTTTTTTATGGGGGAGTTGACATTAGATGAGTCTCATATAACTTAGAATGTCCTCAAATTTACTTTGTATTGAATGAAGACCATCAACTTCTGATCATCTTGTCTCAGTCTATTGCTATATTCACAGGTGTATGGCAACCTACCGATTAAATACAATGGGATGTTGGTCTTCAGACAGTATGCTATGGAGGGAGTCCTATCTGGTCTGATGAAAATTGCTGTGGAGACCAGACTGACCTCAAACACAAAGAGTCTTTTCCCCTTAAGTGAAAGCATTAAAGGTGTGCACCACCATACCCAATCTGTGCTTAGAAGTTTAAAGATACTTATAGAAATACTTCTAGAAAGCAGTCAAGGTGAATGAAGACAATATGCACAAATAATTTGATGGAGGTTCATGTTTATGCCAAATGATACTTTTTCCTATGGGTAACTGAGAATAACACAGATTTAAAATACTCATAAAAATGGTCTCAATAATTTTTACTTGGGACTACTGCCAATATTTTATTTTGTTTTGAATTGTGATTTCATGCTATTACTTAGATGGGCATCAAATTCACATTCTTTTTACCTCAGACCCCTGGACTGGCATTATAACTGTGCACTGCCACAACTGGATCAATTCTAGGAGTTGGTCATAAGAATGAAAAATTTTGGAATAAGGAAGACTTTGCTTGGAATCCAAGCCCTACACATGGCCTCATAAAGGAATTTTTGGCTCTAAACTTTTATTACATATTTTATCACAGTTTCTGTTAATATTTAATGTAAAGGTAAACAACCATGACAATAACTGAAAATAGTGCATTGAATAGTTGGAAAGGAGACTTATGGGAAAATGAATAAGCATGCACCAGAGGTAGGTAATGAAGTTTCCAGAAAAAATTGAATTTTACAATAAATATTCAAATATTTCTCAAAAGATAAAGTATGTGATGGATGGCTTTGCTTTTTATATGGAAAATTTCTACCCCTGGAAGATAAAATCAAGAGAGCAAATTATTTTGGAATGATTCAATATTTCTGTTTTTGTTTATCCTTAATATATTTCAAATACTATAAAGAATTCAGGAAATAATCAAATAGAGGACTACAATCAATATAATAGAAACAAAGAGAACAATGGAAACAATCAATGAAACTTCAAGTTGGTTCTTTGAGGAAAAACAACAAGGTAGACAAACATTTATCCAAATTTACTAAGAGGCAGGGAGAAAATATCCAAATTAACAAAATCAGAAATGGAAAGAGAGACATAACAAGTGACACCTAGGATATTAGGAAAATCATTGGGTCATACTTCAAAAATGTATACACTGCAAACTTAGAAAATCTAAAAGAAGTGAACAACATTTGTGTTATATATCACTTCCTGAAGTTATATGAAGTTCAAAACAATTTATATAGATGCATAATCCCCAAGCAAATAGAAGCATTCATTAAAAGTCTCCCAAACAATAGTAGCCAGGACTAGATTGTTTTAGTACATAATTTGACCAGACATTCAAATAAGTGCTAATAAGTATACCCCTCAAATTATTCCACAAGATAGAAATAGATGGAATATTGCCAGATTATTTCTTTTTCTTTTTCTTTTTTTTTTTTTTTTTGGTTTTTCGAGACAGGGTTTCTCTGTAGCTTTGCGCCTTTCCTGGAACTCACTTGGTAGTCCAGGCTGGCCTCGAACTCACAGAGATCCGCCTGCCTCTGCCTCCCGAGTGCTGGGATTAAAGGCGTGCGCCACCACCGCCCGGCAAGTATTGCCAGATTATTTTGTGAGGCCACAGTTACCCTGATATCTGAACCACACAAAGAAAAAACAAAAATAGAATTACAGACCAGTTTCCCTTGTGAACATAGATGTAAAATACTCAATAAAGGACTCACAAACTGAATCCAAGAAAACAAAATGATAATCCACACTGGTTAGGTGGGCTTCATCCCAGAGATGCCAGGATGATTCAACATATGAAAATATGTTAATTAAATCCATCATATAGACGAACTGAAAGAAATGCACCACAGGATCATTCTATTAGATGCAAAAAAAATCCTTTGACAAACAGGAGCACCCCTTCATGATAAATATTTTGGAGAGATCAGGGATATGGAGACATACCTATACATTCTAAAGGCAATATATTGCAAACAATAGCCATCATCAAATTACTCATAATAACTAAAAAAAAAAACCCTTCACAATAGCCACAAGTAAGATAAAATACCTTGGTGTAACTGTAAGAAAATAAGTGAAAAACCTGTATGACAGGAACCTAAAGACTCTGAAGGAAGAACCTGGAGAAGATTTCAAAACATGGAAATGTCTCCCATATTCATTGATCATCCGGTTTAACATAGTAAAACTGGTCAGCTTATCAAAAGCAATATACAGATTCAATGCAATCCCTATCGAAATTCTAACCCAATTCTTACGGATCAGAAAATAACAATACTCAACAATACTCAACTTTGTATGAAAATAAAGCAGGATAGCTAAAGCAATCTTGGACAAGAAAATAAGGAGTATACTAGATGTGGAACAAGGATGACTGGACTGCTACTCACATCACCAGGGAGCATACCTGGAATATATGACCCCAAGAAAGACACAGGGATCGCCCAATGATGGAGAAATGGATGAGATCTACATGAACAACCTGGCCATGAGTGGGAGCAATGAAGGGCGAGGGTCGAGGGAAACAGAGCCAGCTGGATCAAGAAAAGAGAAAGAGAACAAGGAATAGGAGACCATGTTAAATGAAGACCACATGAGAAAAGGAAGAAACAAATTGCTAGAGAGGTCCACAGAAATCCACAAAGATACCCCCACAATAGACTGTTGGCCATGGTTGAGAGACAGCCGGGACTGACCTACTCTGGTGATGGGATGGCTAAACACCCTAATAGTCGTGCAAGAAACCCCATCCAATGACTGAGGGATCTGGATGCAGACATCCACAGCTAGGCCCCGGTGGAGCTCCGGGAGTCTAATTAGCGAGAAAGAGGAGGGTTTACATGAGCGAGAATTGTTGAAACCAAGGTTGGATAAAGCACAGGGACAAATAGCCAAGCAAATGGAAACACATAAACTATGAACCAAAGGCTGAGGGGCCCTCAACTGTATCAGGCCCTCTGAATAGGAAGAAACAGAGGTGGCCCCACTCTTGGCAGTGTGCCCATAGTGGCAGAATGTGGAAGCGGTGCAGGACCCATCCAGAGGATGCCACGCCAGCCCCGTGCTACTAGGTTGCCCAAAGTGGCAAGACCTGGGAAAAGTAACTCCCAGAGCAGCACATAGTCCAGAACAGAGGCTGCACTTGGCATCACAGTAAAGACAGATGCTGTCCACTCTGCACTTCCTTCAACCTTCCTAAGAAGCTGAGCATCTCTCTCTGCCACTTCTGGATACTATTAAAGCATGGAGATTTAGAGTGAAAAAAAAAGAAAAGAAAAAATAAAAAAAGCAGGATAGCTAAAGCAATTTTAGACTAGAAAATAATATCATTATACCTGATTTAAAGGTATACCACAAAGTACTAGTAATAAAATTCATATGCTTTTGGCATTAAAAACAGAGAGATTGTTCTTTAGATAAGATCCAGTACCCAGAAGTAAATACACACCTGTGGACATTTGATTTTTTTCATTCTTTTTTTCTTTATTATTGTTATTATTATTATTATTATTGTTATTATTTTACAATATTTTCAGTTCTACATAACAGCCAAAGATTCCCTTGTTCTTCCTCTTCCTGTCCCCTCCCCTTCCCCCCAGCCTACCCCACATTCCCATCTCCTCCAGAGCAAAGCCTCCCCCAAGGACTGAGATTGACAAGATAGACTCAGTCCAGGCAGGTCCAGTCCCCTCCTCCCAGATTGAGCCAAGCGTCCCTGCATAAGTCCCAGGTTTCAAACAGCTAACTCATGCAATGAGCCCAGGACCTGGTACCACTGCCCATATGCCCCCCAAACAGATCAAGCCAATCAACTGTCTCACCTATTCAGATGGCCCGATCCAGTTGGAGGCCCCTCAGCTTTTGGTTCATAGTTCATGTGTTTCCATTCGTTTGGCCATTTGTCCCTGTGCTTTATCCAATCTTGGTTTCATCAATTCTCGCTCATATAAACCCTCCTCTTTCTCGCTAATTAGACTCCCGGAGCTCCACCTGGGGCCTAGCCGTGGATGTCTGCATCCAGATTCCTCAGTCCTTGGATGGGGTTTCTGGCACAACTATTAGGGTGTTTGGCCATCCCATCACCAGAGTAGGTCAGTCCCGGCTGTCTCTCGGCCATTGCCAGCAGTCTTTTGTGGAGGTATCTTTGTGGATTTCTGTGGACCTCTCTAGCACTTTGTTTCTTCCTTTTCTCATGTGGTCTTCATTTACCATGGTCTCCTATTTGTTGTTCTTCCTCTCTGTTCTTGATCTAGCTGGGATCTCCCACTCTCTTTCCCTCAACCCTCGCCCTTCATTGCTCCCACTCATATCCATGTTGTTCATGTAGATCTCATCCATTTCTCCATCATTGGGCGATCCCTGTGTCTTTCTTGGGGTCATGTTTTCCAGGTATGCTCCCTGGTGATGTGAGTAGCAGGCCAGTCATCCTTATTCCACATCTAGTATCCTCCTATGAGTGAGTACATCCCTGGGCACCAGCCACTCCTGGGAAGACCTGCCCAACTTTACCCCAGGTTCTGACCACCAGGCAGGTCCCCTTCTAGCCCCACCAGGAAGGATCCCCTTCTCCAAGCCCCCCACCCCCGGCAGCTGCTGCAATCTCCACGCCCTGCCCCCACGCCCATCTGCCTGCTACCTCAGCCACTTCCTGAAACTTAGAGACCGGCCCCCAGCTCCCATCCTGCCCCCAACTTCCCTTCTGGACCAGAGGTGAGTGTCTGGGAACAACCCAGACCCCATCCCTGGGCACCAGCCACTCCTGGGAAGACCTGCCCAACTTGGCCCCAGCTGCTGGCCATCAGGCAGGTCCCCTTCTAGCCCCACCAGGAAGGATCCCCTTCTCCAAACCTCCCAGCAGCCCCTGCAATCTCCACGCCCTGCCCCCATGGCCATCTGCTGGAGACCCCAGCCACTTCCTGAGACTGGCCCCCAGCTCCCATCCTGCCCTGGACTTCCCATCTGGACCAGAGAGGGCTCCCATCCTGCCCTGGACTTCCCTTCTGGACAAGGGCTCACATCCTGACCTGGACCTCCCTTCTGGACAAGAGCTCACATCCTGCCCCGGACTTTCCTTCTGGACATTTGACTTTTGACAGAGAAGCCAAAATTATACAATAGAAAAAACAGCATTTTAAACAAATGTCACTGGTAAAATTGGATGTTTGAATGTATAAGAATGCAAATAAATGCATATCTATCATTGAACAAAAATCAAGTCCAAGAAGATCAAAGACATCAACATAAATCCAGATACACTTAACCTGATAAAAGAGAGAGTGGGATATAGCCTTGAACACATTGAAACCAACGACAACTTCCAGAGCAGAATACTAATTGAGCAGGCAATAACACTGAGAATTAATAAATGAGATGTTATAAAACTGAAACAATTGTGTAAGGCAAAGGAAACTCTCAATAGGACAAAAGGCCATTCACAGAATGGGAAAAGATTTTAACCACTTCCACACTGGACATAGGTGCAATACCTAAAACATATAAAAAACACAAAAAACTAGATATCAATAAAATAAACAATCCAATTTAAAAATGAAGTACAGATTTGCATAGAGAATTCTCAACAGGGGTGCATCAAATGGCTGAGAAATAGTCAAAGAAATATTCAAATCCTTAGCCATCAGGGAAATGCAATTAAAAACAACACTGAAATTTTATCTTACCCCTGTCAGAATGGCTAAGATCAAAATTACCATTGACAGATTTATGAGGAAGAACACGGGGAACAAGAGGAACACTCCTCCACTGCTGGTGGGATAAGTGCAGACTTATACAGCCACTTTGGAAATAAATATGGCAGTTTCTAAGAAATTTGGGAATCGATCTACCTCAAGACTCAGTTATACCATACCACTCTGGGCATATGCTTAAAAACACTCCGTACCACAGGACCATTGTTCTACTATGTTTATAGAATCTTTATTTGCAATAGTCAGAAACTGTAAATAAACTCAATAGAATAATGGATACAAAAAATCTATTATAGACTCAGCTGTTAAAAACAATGACATCATTAAATTTGAAGGCAAACTGATGGATGTAGAAAAGATAGTCATGATTAAGGCAATTCTGACACAGAAATA